AACCAAAAGAACCGGGACACAAGCGACTTTCTTCCAATCTCCAGGGGCATTCGGGACGCAACCCGTACTTGATTCCGCATCTCGTTATAGATTTTTATCTCAAAAGAGTATCAGTGCTTTTTATCAACAAAAGAAATGAGGATTTGCCACCACAACATGGGTATCGTATCTTCCAACCCCTCAGCTTCATTTTTTTCACTCCTGCTTGCGCTCCCGCAGGTTAGTTCAGTCGTCCGTGAAAGATAAATATACACGACGTGTTTTCGAATTTGAGTCAAATATCAATCCAAAATTAAGTATTTTTACAGTAATACTTATTTTGACTCTCGCTAATGTGGAAGTAGGGACATCAAAATGGATTCGGAAGTAACAGGACCGCCAGTTAGACTAACCAGGACAGCAAAAGGCTATGCGTTGCGAGGTTGCTCTGTCACGCCATAGCCCAATAGTACCGGTACCGATATGCATGCCTTATTTGATGTGGATGCCGACAAGCTCTCGCTGCTAGTTATCGTACGGTACCAGCATATCTTTCTCGTGGCATCGAGATGCACTTGAAGCGGTGGGATTGTTTGTGGAGGAGTGCCGCCGACCTCTCGCTTAGCTTCTTCGGACGTGATACCGCCAGGATGACGGTACGTCATTTTGATCTGGAATCATCTCTTAGCAAGCAAAGCTACCGTAGGGTTCCCAAGATCGGCCGTGCTGGTCGCCGTCGAGGCTACATAAGATGCATCTGGCTGGCTATTTTGACAGGAGAAAAATCCGTGTCACTAGAGTAGTAGCTGCGGAGACAAGGGTCCCCAAATGCTACAGGGTTGTCCCCCAATGATTGCTAAACATTTGAATGCATATAAAAATAGGATTTCATGGATCCAGCTTCAACGAAACAGTTCCCCGTTACCGTAAGTAGCTATTAATCTTGTGCAAAGCTGAAGCAATTGTACTGTAGTTTCCAGTTGACCGTCCCTGAAGTTACATGTATATATCGAGCAACATGCGCCGCAGGCAGCTGGAACTGCACCTTTCTAGTACATGTAGGCATCCCGTCCTTTCCAGCCTAAGGGGGCGCAGTCTCCAGAGTCATCTCGGAGAGTAATTTGGACACTTCGCTTCCACCTGGCCTACACTGGGCGGAGTCGTCGCTATCGTGCTATAGATATTTTCCGCCATGATCTATCCTTGAAGTGAGAACATGGTGGTCAGCAGTTTCTTTGGAAGCTTGCCTGGAAACTTGAGGCTGGAGGACAGCGCGTGGACCCCGAAGCAGCCAACTAGGTACGTACCTTTACCGCACCGCTTAGCAAGAGGTGCGCGGGAAAGACCAGGTTTGCCCTCTCATAACGGACGGGAGACCTGAGAACACACCTCATGGAAACACATCACTCAACCTAGCCTGCATCAATAGCACCTAGCCGGTCCAAATGAGCCCGCGACGTAGCGGTTTCATTAGCATCGCACCGTAGGGAGGAAGCAATGTATTTTCTTTTTATTTGACTCAATTTTTAAAATCACTATCAAGCCAACAAAGAACAGCTGCAAAATAACATAGCAGCAACGGTACTTATGAAATGAATAGTAGAAAGATAACCACTTGGGAAATGTAGAAATAAATGAACAGGGGACAACACAACACCACATAATGAACATGGCCTGACTCTTTGTAATCCCCATAACTGTTTACAAAAAGAGCAGACCAGGAACAATGAATAACAGGATGTTGTCGTTCAATGAATGAACTGGAAAAGGATGGATGGAGGTTGATGGAAGGAAGGATGAAAGGGAATATTTCTCTATCGAACTTTTCGGACAATGTGCGGACTTCGCTCCTCTATATAGAAGCCGCGGATGAATGAGTGAGCGAATCGAATCTTGTCTTGTTTCGCCTTGGGTTCTCGTTGTTCGCCTGAATGGTTGGTACATGTTTCGCCGTCAAGGAGGTGACAGCCTGATGGCACTTTTGTAGTGCCTCTCATTGCGGCCGCGTCACTTAATACCGGTATTCGTCGTCATCGTCATCATAGTCCTCGTCGTCTTCATCAAAGGCATTACAGCGATTGATGGTCCAGAAATCTTCTTGTATTTGACTCTCGGCAGTTTCTCTGACCGATGGTCGAACAATAGATGACATTTCCTTGGTACGCCATGGCAAACTGGGGCTCTTGGCTGGTGTTGGCGGCGGCGATGGTACCGCGACGTCGTTGGTCTTTTTGCTGGGCGCTGACGCGTCGAGAGTAGAGTCTGTACTGCGATTGCGAGTAATGTCGATACTCAACAGCTCTGGCTGTTGCGTCCTTGCCTTGATAAAGTTGAGTAGAGGCATCTTGCTTGATTGTTTTAACGATTATATTATGTATCTGATGCTTTGTGGGAAGGGATTGCCAACGGATAGATTAGATGGGTCTATCTTGTTTGCTGCTGGTTGTTTGACCCTGTGGGATACCGGTGGGTGGCGAAGGCTTCGACAAATTCTTTCGCGCTGCAGGCAAGCGATCTCCCCATGTTCTTTCGCACAGTATGCGCGCAGGGCAATCCCAGGAACCGTTAGGTAATCTTCCCCAGGTTGATACGAGACTCTTATGGTACTGGTAGCCCCATCTCTATGGTACCGTAGTTTGGTAATTTGCTCCTCGCTTCTAACCGTGGAAACATGCCAAATATTCACCCACGCTTCCCTTCTAAACCAAGAATTCAAATCATGGCGCCCTTTATCCCAACAAGAAGGATCTGGGATACGAAAGCAAAGCAAAGGCATGTGTTACTTGCCAAGACGGTGTTGAATTACACCGGATGCTGTACATCGTACCTTGTCTCTGCTAGCCGCTGTCAACCTCGTTCCTGCTTCCGTGTATTCTCGAATGAAACCTCAGGTTTAACAAGTGAAAGATTCTCCTAATGGCCTTCAAGGGAAAAAAGGGCAACCTCGCTCCAACTCGCCGGGTTCAATTCATACTAGTATTAGAAGAAGACGCAGAATCAGAAAGTAGTGACTTGTCCTCGAAGATGGAAAACTTGTAACGCTACTGTACGAACTTTGAGAGGACGAACAACCAAAGTACTTAGGTCTGGGAAACTTACTAAAGGTGGAATCATCCCAATCTTTTAGTAGCAACAAGTCGAAAGGTTGAAGGCTCAACTCTGACAACAGAGCGAGAACTGTGCCTCATTTTATTGCCCACCTGAGGTCTGGCGAACACGATGCAAGTTTCCACGTCGCGGTCGCCGCACTCTCGATTACCGTATCCCTAAGTTTAACCCCTTAGTTTGGATCTTTTGTGGGCACAGCAAACCCCTCGATCCCAAACACTCGCTGGGCAGCGACGACAACACATCGGCATTGCGGCAACAGGCGACCAACGGGAGGCATCATTGAACAGTTTTGTTACGGATCATCAATTGCACCAGAGGATTTAGAGAATTCACCATGGCGTCCACAATGGAAGTTGATGCTCCCAAGGAAGAAGAGGCCAAGCAGAAAGTCTCAGTCCACCCAGTAAGTGATTTGATCCGATCTGATCAGCAGTCATGCTTCGGATGTTGGCTCATTGAGGGAGCCTCCCAAGAGGATTGTAGGCTTGTTGCAATCAAATTTGGCCCCACAATGGGCGTTGTTGGATCATGATGATCTCCCGAACGAGTTGTTCTATATTTCGTGGCGACACGCCATTGCGAATAGCGGACAAGGAGGAAGATCGAGACGTGTTCAGAGCCAGATCTGCTCTTGTGCGCTGTGGATCTCTTGTTGGCAGAATGAATCAGGGAATTCGAACGAGAGGACGAAGAAATTCAACACTGGATTTTTCTGCTGCTAGAATTTGTTTGCGACAAATGACGGAAGCTTTGTTTGCTTTGTCTTGGTGATAGATGGAACGCGGGAACCAAATCAAATCGAATTGTTGCCGCTATATTTGTCATTTCTCTTTTTGTTTTTCGGTTTATCTTGAAGTGTGGTTTCTGCTGTTTCTGTGCCTTATCAGTTTGTTTCTGTGTGGCTCACACTGATCTTGTCTTCCTCGTTCCCTTGCTGATTTCTGCGACCAAATAAATTTACGACAACAACACACAACAATAATCCATCAGCTCGCCATTGTAAACATGTCGGATCAGTACACTCGCATCACTTGTGGTGGTTCAGCTCTCAGCAAAGACGATCCCGTCGTTGGCTTACTATTTGGCCAAATGATCAAAACCGAAGACGACTTGTCTATTCTAAAAGTTGTCGATGCCGATGACATTCCTACAGACCGATCGGAAACGGCCAAGACACAAATCTCCCTTCATCATGCCGTCTTTCCATTGCACGATGTTGTAGGATGGTATCGGGTGGGGAATTCGGAGGAACCCACGGCCAACGATCTCCGACTGACACAGGAATTGAAAGCACACTATCAAAAACCCGATCAGCCATTTTTCTTTTCCCTGTTACATGTTCGCAGCAGTCCCAATAATAATAATGGCAACAACAACAAGGAAAAGGACGACATGAAAAATGACGACGAGCTGCCATTGAACTTGTACGAAATCCAAAATATTCACGATGCATCGGAAGTTCTGGTGGGAGTGGACAATTGGTCGCTGGAAACCTCGGAAGCCGAACGGATTGCGGTCGAGCGAGTGGTACGGGAACAACCCCAGCAAGACATCAAGGCCAGCAACAACAGTAATGATACCAACAACGAGGAACTCCCCACCCAAGCATCGCCGTACGTAAATTACATGACATCCGTTGAACACTCCCTTCAGGCCATGCAGGATCGGATCAAAGTCATTATGGATTATCTGGAGAGCATGGGCAAGGGCGAGATCCCGCCAAATCCCTCACTCATGCGTCAAATTGAAGGACTGATCCTACAGCTTGGGCCACTGCAAGCATCCTTGGAAAGCAACAGCAACAACCGCAACTCGCAGGACAATCCATATCAACTTCAGCAATCCATGAGTGACGAAGATGCGGAACTCTTTTCTCATTTGGCAGCCGTCGCCAAGGCAGTGCAATCCGTCCATAGCTATACGGAGAAATTTCGAACATTGCATGAAAACCGTCCCACGGGGGGCCGTGAAGGACGACGGGGATACTGATTGAAACTATTGAACTCGAATGACGACAGAAAAAGAAAGCAATGAAAAAGGAAGAGTCGAGTCCGTGAGACCTCAAAGGCCCATGCCCGGAGACTTGTCTTTCTGTCATTTTGGCACAACTTCAATTCATACAACGAAACTGGGTGAGACACTACGGCCAGGTCACTCCATCGGGTTGCCAACAGAGGTTGCAACTGCAGGAGTCGGGTTGCTCTCACGGGCACTCTTCCTAAAATAATAGAACTCTTCACAGTACCGTCCGTCCCTGATGCTGTTTGGTCCTTTACCGTCCTTGGCTACGGTAATTGCGAGTGATGTAGTGCATCTACTGTACCTGGTACCGGCCACTGAAGGTACCATGGCCATACCGAGACGAGACGTTGATCCGATCAAGTCGTCTGAACACTGAAACCCGAAAGTACCCCCCTACTACGATCATTATTTGCACAGTGCTGGGTCTATCCTCTCCATCTTTTTCTGGCCATGCAACACAGAGCTACCGTATCATCTCAGAGCTAGCATATGGACCTCCGCAGTCTGTCCTGAGCTGCGGTAGCTAGCTAGCCAAGGTCCTGGCCTGTTGCTTGCTTCCTGGTTCCTGTCTTCCCACCGTATCGTACCGCACTGGTAGTACCAGAAGCATTATCCGCAGTGTTCTGCCAGTGATCGCCTTATTGCTTTGAGTGCCTTTTGAGGACATGCACAATGCACAAGCCACAAGCCGACGCGGTGCCGCCAATAATCTTCTTTTGGCGCGCAAAACTTTCTGTGAACCAGAAAGACTGTTCAATCATCGATTGGAGTGGTGTTTGTGTGGTGCTGTTCTGTGACCTGCCATTGAAAGATGAGCCAGGCAAAGCGTTGCTGTCCATATGATTGTTCCCTCGAGGAGCTGGAAGAGCTTGAAGCCGAGTTCAAACGAAGACGATTGGAAACCAGAAGGGCTTCTGCCACTGCTACATGTAGTACTAACTGTTATCTAAGCATTGCAAGTGCACGTGAGATTCTCTCTCAGTATTTGCTGCCAAAGCACCAACTAGCAAGCAGAGGTGAAGCGTTTCAATCAGATCATGCAATTGTACTCCTTCGGCAACACCCAACATTGGCAACCAAGTCCTTTTCTGGCAGAACAGTGATTTCATTTTTCTTGCAGCATGCTGGCGCTTCTACTTCAGTCATCCAGGAGCTTTGTGACCTGTGGAAAACCACGAACCCTCGACACGAAGACGACGACAATTGGCTATCAGCTGGTTTTGATTATATGCCTAACTTGGTGGCTGATGCTTGTGTGTACTGCTCATATCATGATACAATCAAAGTTGTGGCTGAAGAGTTTCCAGATCAAACTATCGAGAAAAGGTACAATGCAACTCCATTGGAATTATTTCTCATGCGATGCTGTGTTGCTGCCGACCCGACTGATTGTGAGCCACCTCTAGATATTCACCAAGCAAACCAAATCTTCCAAGTGATGATTGAGTGCACTCAAACAATGGATCCAGGTGCTGACCACATTGAAGACGTTGTTCTTGGTGCTTATGGTGATGCATTTTGTGATCTTTTTGCCAAGACACTGTCCAAAACTACTACGAAGAGATCACTATCCATTGAAGAGCAGTTTAAGTTCTGGGATGAAAAGGCCATCCACCGTGCCAACCTATTCCTTCCGAGACTAAACAGCTTTAAGCTGGCAGGCATTGATGCTGATGCGAGGCTATTCCAATCCACTTTGAACATGTTTTGTGAGGTGAAGCCGGCCCTATTGAAAAAATTAGAGCTTCCTGTGTTTTATGAAATCCTCCACCAGACAGAGAACCATCTGTTTGTCAAGGCCACACAGTCATGCCCAAATCTGGAACACCTGACGTTACTACCGTTTCAAGATGATGTGAGTTCTACAGACGCCAAGGATGCACGGGCACTATGCATGCTTTGCAAGGATACCCTTCTTGGGACCGACGGACTTGAATCCTTTACTGTGGAAGTGCTTCCACATACTGATGGAGCAGCACTGAGCGAGCTGCTGTGCGCTGTTTTCGTCACGGTCAAATCATGCGATCTTACGTTGGCATTGAACCCACCACGGTATGATGATTCTTGGGTCCCTTTTGAGATCCCACCAAATAGCAAACTTCAAAGTTTGGCCCTCAACTCTAAATTGGGTGCGCAGACCATGATAGGTATTCTTGGCAACCTCTGCGGATTGGAGTCTTTGACAAAATTGCAGCTGTCTCAAGACCAACGAAAAGTTGATATCAACAACGAACTTGGAGCTCTCTTGACTCAGAACCAACTTCAATCTCTCCAAATGTGGGGGTGTGATGGAGTCAGTCTTCAGTTCATAACCAAAGCTCTAGAAGAGGATTCCTCAATGAAGACACTTTGGCACTACCATTCAAGAGAATCTACTGAGAGCCTCGAGAACTTTGCCAACATGATGGAACACAATGTTACTCTTGAGGACGTGATGTTAGGATATCCCAGTGAATTTGAAAAAGATCCTTACTATTCCCAAGTGATCTACTGGGTCAAATGCAACATGTGCGGGAGAGGAAAGCTGAGCGATCCAAGCTCAAGAATAGATTCTCTGGTGGTTGCCTTAGAAACTGCTACAAGGGAGCACCCTGGGGAGCCTGACAATCTCTGGTATGGGCTCCTTCGAGTTAATCCAGGACCTTGGGCAGACGCAGCATTGGCTGGATTCTACATTGAAAACCATCACTTGAGACCCAAATTCTGGAGAGAATCTTTGGCAGCGGTATGATCATACCGCCGGTAGCTTGAAAGTTTCAGTGCGTAGCACATGCAGTAACTCCCATAAGAGATATGGTTTTCTTTCATGAGAAAACTCGCTTGCGACACCGTCCAGTGCTCTCGAAATCTCTCTTCTTGCTATCGTTGCCTCTTTGCTCCCCCTATTCTCTCCTTGCTAGCTGGTAGTTGTTCCTCCCAGTGAGCTCATTTCGAGCTCTCAAGGTGACATCCTGTGGCCTGCGGCAGCATGTCCATTAGCCAAAGAAGCAAAGGATTGTCCATAGCCTTGATCTACAACTCATTCAGCCAGAGCTTCGGCACGTTGAGCCACGAGCCATGCATGAGCCGGCGGTGTTGTGTGTTATTAATGCCCCGATCAATTTGCGTTATTGCTTTGAGTAACATTTGGGAGGAGGACCTATGAAAAATAGGGGTGAGCGTCATTTCATCAGTACAAATCTCTACGAGCCCCCACGCAAACCACTTCATCGTTGTCGAGGTCACGACTCACCTTGACCACTCTGTTTCCGCAGTCGTACCTGGTACCACCACACCCAAAGAAGGTCTCTTTGTAAAGGTCCTGTCGGGATTGTTGCGACGAGAAACTTGAAGGAACACAGGATCCCACAAAATTGGTTGAGGCGGCGTATTTGGTTTTGGCACATCGACCCGCTGTTTCCGCCAAGAAGCTTCCTCCAGCTCTCTTCAGCACAGAAATCGAATCCCTTGGGACCAAGCCGACAACCTCCAGTGACTGCGTCATCTCCTTCTACTTCATCCTCCTTTTCCGCTCCAGCGACTACTACAACCAGGACAATGTCAGGCCGCGCTGACTGCTTCAAAATCGGCACTTCCTTCACTGCTCGAAGATGGCTATCGCTGAATCCCTGTGGCTGCTTCGGCATTACTTGCAGTTTTGCAGTACACATCTTTGCTGCGACAGTGACCGGCATGCACTTGATTGAGGGGTCTTTTTTGGCTCAAGCCGTGTATATTTTGGTCTACTTGCCGCTGTCATTCTTGGCGCTGTGGTCGCTGTTCATGGCGTGGACCACCAATCCGGGAGCTGTCCCGATGGGTGCTCGCCCGTTGGTCACGCTCTCTCGTGCTGCCAGCGGCGAAATGTCCCCATCCGCTCAAGCACGGAAACGGGGCATTCGACGATGTCAAAAGTGCAACGACAATTACAAACCTGACCGAGCGCATCATGATTCCGTAACGGGGCGATGCATTGTGAAATTTGATCATTATTGGTGCGTTTATTTCAACGAAAATTCTGTTATGAGGTGATTTTGTTCCATTGCTTACTTTGACCTCTGACATCGTCATTTTTGCTTTCCTGTACGATACTACCACCCGAAACAACAGTCCATGGGTCTGCAACGCTGTGGTACGTAAGAAGACCTGCTTGTGGATTTTGAAATGATGAAGATCGTTCTTTGCTCATATTTTTATTGGCTCACTTCGAAACACTTGCAGGGCGCCTTGAACCACAAGTTTTTTGTTTTGTTTGTATTCTATACCATGACAACTTGCATGACTTCCATATTCATGATTATAACGCGGGCGGTCCGCTGTGGGTACGTGCGCGAAAACCCTTCAGGGGATGCTTCCGAAGCCAGCATGTTCGCTCCTAACGCAACCCAAGAAGAGGAAGAGATCAAAGAGGAGGAAAAGGAGGGGGATTTGGACGAAGGGAGAGGGTTGTTACGAGGACTGCAGAGTCTGGCGCCAACCTACGTCCACGAAGAATGCGAGGATTTCCATCAAACATACACCGTTGTTATTCTTTTTTGCGTCGCGGTTACCTTTATGATCTTTACCGCGTGCATGATGATTGAGCAAATAGAAGCCATTCAAACCAATCAAGGCAAGATCGCTAGAATGAAAATGAGAGTTGGTCAGGGAGGAACGGAGCTAACACGGGTGACGGAAGCGTTCAACGAAATGTTTGGAGGCACTTCTCCGAAGGCATCGTGGCATTGGTTTGTGCCCTTGCCCGTTCGGTTCCCTACTGGTATGCACAAGGTGGTCATGGGCTACGAATGGGATCCCACCTTTGATCCTGTGCCGTTCCGAGATGACAGGCCGGATGCTGGGAGCGAGGGCACATCCACGAGTGATGAGCCAACGAGCGCCACCGAAGGCACCAGCGAGACACCAGAAGAGCCTCCTGTGGACGTGGAAACTGGTCTATCAACCCCCGACCTTGATGAGGTGGCGATAGACGCACCGCAAGAGAAGCCACCAGCTCCAGGACGGCTCAAGAAACGGTCCGTCTCCAATGGGTCTGTGTCGCTGCCTGATTTGAGTTGAGAGCTCCGCACTCATCGTGGCCGCCCCTCTGTTTTTAGACTGTGATTGAACCCTTCATCTTTCATTTTGTGGTTCTGTCTGTTTCATATCCACACTATACACAATATCTAGTCAAAGCACGCTTCATCTTCTTCAGTGCCATCCCGGCGTCGTAGTAATAAGTGCGCTTCATCTTCTTCTGTGTCATCCCGGCGTCGTAGTAATAATTACAATGAACTCGCGATGCGTCCCGCTGCTGCGGGTGTTTTGTTCCACCACATGTTCTGTTGTCGCCATCTTTGGCATAGGCTGGCAACACAGAAAGCAGGCGATGAATTGGTGGGTCACCTGCGACGTGTTGACGATAGCGCCAAGTAGTACCAAGACAATACCCCACGTCTACACTACAACACATGGTTCTAATTTCTTTTCATTTTTGCTTTCATTACTGTATAACTAAATTAACAACCGTTAATCGTCGACCAAACAAAAAACCATTTCCTGCGCCATCTTTGGATTTCCTTGTTTGGCCTAGGTTTCCTGAGTTGCGGTACCAGTTGTCGATTGCAGAGGCATTGCAATTTCAGCTACAGCGTTGTCCTCGCTCTTGCCTTCCCCTTCGTCCAAGGTCTTGGGACGTGCAGCCCTGGCGAGTTCCTTGACTTCTCTCTTGGGGTACGCCAAGGCGTACAACAAGTCGAGATGCTTGGCAGACTGCTGCGAAAGCTGTCCAGGAGGAGGCAAACCACGCATCACGCTGTCCCTCGTTCGACGCTCCACCGTTTTGGTGACCAATCCGGTCTTCCCGTCGGTGATACGGATATCATCGTCATTGCTTCCAATGGATCTATCATCCGCTTCGCCTTCCTCTTCCTGGACTTCTCTGTTGGATCCACTCTGTCCAGTGCGTCGAACGGCACGGAGCAAACGGCGATTCCACTTGTTCACGACCTTCATGGAGATCATTGACCGCCCCAAACGGAATTGTACGGGCTGGGACGGGGACAATTCCAGTGGTCTGCGTAGGTACAAGTAAGACCCATTGGAAGATCCCGCATCAGTGAACACAAATTCTCCATTCTTGAAACGGATTGCAGCGTGCCTAGCCGAAACTGTGCGGTAGTCCAAAACCATGTCGGATCCGGAAGAACGCCCAAGAAGCAGGGGCCTCGTGGCGTTTCGGCCATCCGGCTTCAACAGAGTGCTAAATGAAAGCTGGAAACGTGTATTGAAGAGACGCTGGGCCATCTCGTGTTTGGTAGCCACCAACAAGGACACATAGGGAGGCTCCAAAGATGATTTGAACAACTTGACATGGCGACCGTCCTTCAGTTTGAAATCGGACTTGAACGTGCTCTTACAGACGGAGCAGGTAGCATCGACCGAGGAGAGGAAGCAAATCTGATTGTCTGCCTCGGCAGTGTGCCACTTTCGCAAGCACTCCACATGAACATACTTTGTGTCACCACTGCACTTGCAAGGAGTAATCAGGGGGTTGTCTTCCGAATCCTCTTCATCAAAGCACATGTAACAGACCGGATTGTCGCCGAATTCTCTAACCGATCCAACAGGAGGTGACACAGTGGAAGTATTCGGGCCTGGACCGGTTTCGCCATTCATCGAATCATCCGAATTTTCTACAAGGCGAGCAAAAGCAGGTTAGTCTCCACTGCAAAAATTCCAAAATGACTGCGGACAAAGCACAATTTCTACCCACCTCCATCGGTCTCGGCCAAGTCCAAGAATCCTCCATTGGTATTGGTAGTGTCCTTCATAATCTTCTGGATTTTTTCTTCACTCAAGACGCGGTTCTCGACTCCATCATGGGTCTCAATGACTACTACACCGACCGACCCAACACGCAGAAAATCTCCCACCTGAAGCGTGTGAGGAGCAGGAGGGTGCTTGCGATCTCCCAACAAGCGGCAGGTTCCCGAGTGTCGAGAGAATGCCTCTGGAGCAGGTACGACCCAAAACGACTTGGCATGGGTGGTGACCAACAACTGACACGCGCGAGTGTCGGAGAGCTCATAGCGCTGCAGTTTTCTTCCGACATGCATGGCATACTCCGCTCCGATATCCACAGCGTTGGTATTACGGTTGCGGTTGGAACCCTGCACAATGACTCCCTATTATTAACGTAGCAACAACAAGAACACAAGAACACCAAATGGTCAATCCCAAAATGACCCACTCGGCACACCCACGGCAGTCACACCCCAACTAACTTACCTCCGGTTTGATAGTAAAGGTGGTGAACTTCTTCTTTCCTCCACTTTGGTTGTTGTTGCAGGGATAGACACGAACTTCGACTTGAGTGTCGAGGCGAGCATTGACATCCGAAGCAGGGTTAATGCAGCGAGCCGGAGGAGGGAGCTCGACCGTCTCTCGTTGTCTCTCTCGTCCTCTGTTTTGAGCACTGTCGTCTTGGATGGGTGCTACGGTGGTCTGGAACTGGTCGTTAAAGGCAGGAAGAGTGCGAGAGCGCTCACTGATACCATACGGACGAGCCAAGTTAGCGGCAGCGTCCGACGTCACACCACTGCTGTTATTGGCCGCGTCTGCCGCCGCTGGACTTGCAGCGTTCTGCGACGAGCGATTGCCATTGCCGCTGCTTCTGCGGCTGGTGGGGGAGATGGCGTCCGCGCCGTCGATAGCGTTGGAGGAAGAACTGGTTCCCATTGTTGTTGTTTGTTAATACTAAAAAGGAAAAGCAGTAAAGGACAACGGATCAAGACAGAGCTCGGCAAAATGGAAGCGTGGTGATGAGAGACCTCTTGTTGTTGTGTCTTCAATACTCGTTCGTAACCAGGATTATAGCAACTGATAGGAGAGAGAGAGTTGGACAGTTCCTTCTCGCGGTCGGAGACGACTCAAATCGCACGTAAAACTCAGTACCAATCACTCCGTTAAATTTCAACTGCAGGCAGCACGCACAACGGACCCGGAGTTGTGGACTGGCAAATGTAACTAAGCAATGACTTGAACGGTTGTAACAACAGCAGCACCAAGACCACTGGCAGCACTGTCAATTGATGTTATGGCAACAACTACCAACTCCGGAGTAAAGAATAGAAAATGTGCTGTTGCCTACTAGTAGCCTAAGCAATATTCGAGTGTAATGACAAGGAACAGTTGGCCACTGTAAACAAGGAGCTCTTTCGGTTGTTCTTCCTCAATCACAAGTGGGTTTTCTTTGCCACGATGGCCATTGCTCGGAAGCCAGTGCAAGCCAGCCTGGCATTCGCCATATTCTTAAGTAATTTCTTAGTCTTTTCGTGTGACTGCCGTTGGTTGGTGGTACTGTACCAAAAAATGACTTCTTGAAAAATAAGTCATGATTTTTAGCTCTGAACCTTAAATCTGGCGAAAGTCAAAATTCGGATGGCAGCACAGCTTTGTGGGCTGGTACCGGTAGTCAAAAGACAACGGACAATCATCTGTTTTGCTTCAGCGCCATGAGTGCCGCCGCTGCGCACTGGCATCTGCCACGATCACCTTCTTTGCCGCGGACAGTGCCATGGCAGAGTTGGACACAATGTCCTCAACATCAACATCCAACAGGTGGACCGAGGAGGCTCTGCTTCCTCTTGCAAATGGTTCTAATCTCGCTTGCGCAAAAGCTTGATTTTGCTCTACGGTATTCGAAAACCTTGTTCTCACTATTAATATATTCGCCATGCCCATCATCCGAGCTTGAGACCCTCTACCCAGCCAGGGTCAGCCGGATATTGATTTGAGATACTCAGCTTTTGTGCAGCATTGCTTCTCCTGGAAATGCTAGTAGTTGGAAGCTCTTTTCAGGACACAAACTTTGATAATCCAAGCTGCAGCAACATGCAAGCTCCACGACCACAACCGATGATCCAGCTCACTGGCAACATGAACCCATTGCAAGATCCATTGATGCAGATAAATCGGGACGATTTGAGACGAGCTATGCTGCTCATGGTGGCCAAGTCGAATGGATCAACAGGTTTCCGAGTTTGGATACGTCCTGACCAACAGGCGTGAAAGCATTCCGTAATTGGTGGGCGTATTTACTTGATGGACTGCTTCCGAAAACGAATACAAGCTCATTATCACGGATGAACCAGAAAGGGCATCGAAGCTGTGAATCGGTTCTCCTTACCGTGCCCTGGATTCTGGCTTGCTGTGGAAGATCTGCTGCCACCCAGGTACCGTAGCACGGTCCAAGATTTACAGCCTTTCATCCTACATGTACAGAGCAAATCCAGACCGTTGCGAACTTTCTTTTCAGCAACCTGTTATCAGTCCAATAGCATGTTTCCAAACTTCCATGCCATGCGGGAAGGTTGGACAGTTGTTTCTGACTGTGAAGGTGCTGGCTCTGTATCGTTTGATGAGCAGCTATTGGAAAAGGAAATGCATCACCTTTTCAAAGCCTGCACAAAGAAGAAGCAGCTCGTACAGGTAGCTATACATGCTCAATTCACCCTCTGTTGTGAACATGTGTTGGGCTTCACCGAAGAATTTTATGTCCGATGATGGGCCACCAAATGGAGGGGGTTCAAGGGGACCGGATAGATGCTCTATTCAAGACTCCCACCGAAGAAGCTGGGCGGTAGAGCATGGTCCAGAATGTGCTGGAACAATTCAAACTTCGGCATTAGAATACATGTATGCACGAGTTTTCGTTTTGGAAGGCTGCACACCGAACGGCTGGCATGTCGCCTGAGGCAAGGCTGCTGAAATTCACCGGGATGATACCATACGATACTCATTAGATGCACAGTTTTTGTTTGCTGTAGACAGAATTCGACCTTCGCGTATGTGGATTTTCCGGTTCGGACTCTGCTTTGTTTTTGGAAATGAATAACTAGCTAGGTTCGTGACACTGCTGTCCCGTGCCGTAGCCAGCCCATTCAAATCGTGCAGGCGGAATTTGCAGCTCATTGGGGAAGTACTGGCACGCACATTGGCTAATGAAAAACACACAAAAGTTTGGATTCGATTCAGACAGCTCTCGATAGCCACCACGATGCTTATAGCCACCGGTACCAGTACTTTGCCAATTCGAAACGAGGTTGCACAAGGCCCCGACTTCTCCGGATGATGCGTGCATGGTTCAAGGTCGTGTATCGATTCATGCTGATTTTATGCTACACAAGCGCACAAGTCTTCCTCGACAAAGTCCAGAACTACGAGCAGCACGCTCCTGGCTCATTCATCGGGTACCTGGTACCGCTGGCACAAGAAAGTGGCAAGAGAAGAAGGGCGTGTATGTGTGCTGTCGAAAACGCAACTCAGTCCTCGTCACCTCTTCGTTGGTCTCGAGCAACAGCCTCTCAAGGAAGTCACAGTCTCTCTGTGGAATGTAGCGGACGCAAGACTCGAAAAGGTTTCATCTTGAGATCACCATGATAGTCTATTCAGTATGACACGATGGAAGCCTTGTCCAGACTGAAAGAAGCTTCATTCCTAAATCGAAGCTGTATCAATTCATAGACTTTCATACACATCCTTTGTCGCCCATCCTTTCCCGAAACAAATTGTAAAAAGAATTGTTCAGGCAAAGCCAGAGCCACATTTCAATGGACACAAACTGAAAAAACATACCTCTGGAGTTGGTTGCTTGTAAAGAACGTCCACTCTCCTCCCTTCAAAACCTCTCACTTTGTGCCCAAGGTGCATAGCATTCCAGATCCTTTTGGGAACAAATGGCTTAAAGACTGCCCAAATCATGTTGACAGCTAATGGAGAGTTGAGAAAGTAGTCCTCCTTGTGGATCTTGGGATAGGGTACCCATAATTCATGAATAAATCTGTGAGTAAGCGTGCTGTCAAAGTTGATGAAGCCACTATCCATACACTCGCAGAGTTGTGTAAATCCAGCCCGCATGGAAGCAAAGTGGGGAAACAGGGCTTGGTAGAAAGAATGCCACCCAGCCAGAAAAACTTGTTCCTCCCTGGCTGTCCGACAAAAGTCTGTCCGGTAACAAGCAACATCGAGCATGAACATGTAGTTGCTTGTGGAAACCAAAGGTTCTACCGCCACATGGAGACCTGGCTGCAGAAGAGTCAGCTGATAAAAGGTTTCACTTTGCTCCATGGCATCTCCATGGGTTATGTTGTACTCTTTGTAGAAGCACTGCATTGCATACACTCGCTGACAAATGGCTTCAATTGTCTCGTTGGATTCAGAAGCAAATGCATATTGCACATACATGTAATCTGTCAAATTATCCAGTTCCGGGTTCGCTTCAACAGCACACTTTATGGCACGGCTGCGCTCCAGTTCTGCCAGAGTCAACTGCATGTTTGGATCTGCAGGCACCGCATGGTCGATGGCAGGTTCGACGGGGGCGAACATTAGGGGTCTTCAATGTTGCTCTTTCAGATCACTTTTTTGCCCTCTTTTCTGGCCCTTGTGGGGGAGCGTGGAAGGTTCTGAAAAGAAGGGGCGGAGAAGTCAAAAAGAAAGAAAAAAAAATTCTTTGAAAGAGCACCTTTTTAGGTGCTCTTTCGCTCACAATTTTTTCTTTCTTCACTCTTTCGGTCATTCTTTTGGGTTTGCAGAAGCAGTAGTATTTAAAGCTAAGTCACGAAGAACAAGCTACTCATCGAAAGCATTAACACCAAGGCTTGAAAGAAGTCATTCGAATGGCTTGTGACTCGTGACCGATTCAATGCAACCCAAAGCGCGTCCTAACATGTTTACAGTGGTCATGTTTACCTCTCCGGTGACTCCACTGGATCCCCTTTCCTTCCCCTCTTCTGGCTCCCCCAGAAAGAAAGAAAAATGGGCCAAAAAAGTGGTTTGAAAGAGCTACATTGACGACCCCTATTGATGTGTCTGCCATGGAAGAAATGTTTGTTTAGCTATTCAAAGCCAACAGTTGATACGACATTTAGTCCAGGTCGTTGCTACAGATTCATGGAGCTTCCAGGACGGTTAAGTAAAAGTTGACTTTGGGGAAAATGGGGTTTTCGAAAGGAAAAGTGTTGAAGTTTTGAATTTTTAGATTTAACAGCGCTGAAACTGTTGAAATTGGTTCAACACTGTTGAATCTCCTTTAAACACTAATTCAACAGAGATTTAACACTTTTCAACAGAGATTCAACACTTATTCAACAACTTCCACACTTCCACTGACTATAGATTCAACAGTAATTCAACAGGGTTTCAACACGATTCAACACTTATTCAACAGTTTTTCAACAATTATGAACCTCTTTTCAACACTTTTCAACAAGGGTGAAAAGTAGACAACTTGTTTAAGAATAGGGGAACCTTCAAGTCCAGTTTACCCAAAAATCCAGCTTTTTCCACTTTTACTTAACCGTCCAGGCAAACGAGAGGTTTGACCGGGAAATCCAGTAACTTTGAAATGTTGCTGCGGCGGGCCTTGATGAAGCCTTTTGCCCTCACACCTCACAGGGAGAGATTTAGGGGGGGTTAGGCACCAGCGCGGGGGAGGGAAAAGAAAAATAAAGGGAGAGGGTTATCCGTTGGATTCCTGATTCCGAACCAGAGAGCCTGCAGGGCCTGACGTTGGCCAGAAGAAGTCATAACTGACAAGATCGATCCAATGAAATACTTATGAAAAGGAGGGGAGTAGGCAATGACCGGTCATCTCCCCCATGCGTAAGACGTCCGAAGAACACATTTACGTCACTAAACGCATCACAGAAATTTCAAATGAGAATCTAACGAATACCTGGCCGACTTGCTCTTTCCCGATCATTTGCTTGCACCAGACCTTCCCATTCAAATCACTTTTTCGAAAATCGTCCGCTCGAAACTCGTCCACTCGCAACGTAACCAACAACAACGCCACAACAGAACTCATCGAAAGGAAACTCGTCGTCAGAGAAACAACAATTGGTTGACAATGAGGATTGCCACTTCTTGTTCCTTCTCACAGTGGCTGCTGAGTGTTGCTAATGCATACCCATTCAATGAGCTGAGGGCAACAAGGCATGGATTCACCTGCAAGTATGTCATTTGTGATATCAACAGCAACGAGAAGTACAGCTGCGTGCTCACAAATGCTTTCGACCATGTCTCCATTCTTGAGGATCTTATCTCCCAAGGAGCATGCAAGCCTCTTCCTCCTGCCATGACGAACATCATGGATTACATGTTTTATTGGGGCCTTCAGAAAAGTACCATAAAGTTCTCTCCACCCTTTCTGAAATGCTGGAGGGGCCAGAAGGATGTGGAAGGAAGGACATCTTCATTGAGTGCATCTATTGGTTAGTGAGGGAAATGATTACCAAAAGCTATGACTTCTACTCCAATGAAGAACAGATTTTGATGGATGCTTGGCATGGGTATTGTTCGCACTGATATGACTACAACAACCAAATCTCCTTCAAGATATTGACTTTGATGAGTGAGACTTTTGTTGATGATTGCATTGAAGACATTCACAATGCACTACACTAAAAGCTAGTGTAAAGATCTTTCGAGTGTTTTGAGTTTGAGAGAATGAAAGTTATGAGAGGATTAGAAAGCTATGAAAACTAATCAACGAGAGAGATCTACAACCAAAGGATCGCAGATCTGAACTCCCGCGGGAGACTGTAAGGTGTGATAGAGTAGGTTGCGGTAGCAATCCTACTCACTCCACGATCCAAAAACGGAACG